CCAGGAAACACACAGCCCGGCAGACAAGCTCCGAGCCAGCTCCCATGTCAGAAGACGAAGAGAGCACATCCAGCCAGTCGCAGAAACAGGACTACACCGAAAAACAGGCCGAGCATGAACATCTATACACTAAGGTGTTGATGGCAGCAGCACAGCTGATATTTCTCTTCAGGATGGTGTCACAGCCAAACAGGAACTTACCAGATGAAGCTACTATGAGAAAAAGCAGAAAGAGCATGGCGTTAACAGATTCTGCAGAGTGGGAGAATAGAGATTGAGACTGAAATGCAATGATAAAAAATGTCCTCCAGCAGTCTAAGCCTATAGCAGCATAACTATAGAGATAGGTCAGGATAATCTGAGCCACTCTAACTATAAACTTTATCAAAAAAGGAAAGTTTTGAGCCTACCCTTAAAAGTAGACAGAGTCTCACGGACTAAAACTGGTAGTTGGTTCCACAGGAGAGGAGCCTACACACACCGCCCTTCTAAGATTTTATTTATTTTTATATCTCCCAGTAAATAATTAGAATTTGTCTTCATCTAAACCATAATTTGTGACATTCAAATTTTAAATGGAAGTCAAAATCTAATTTCAGCCAAAGCAGAAAAGAGAATAGAAGAAATGTAGATTTGGTCATTAATTTTGATCGTTAATTTCAATAGGTTTAAACTATCCATGACTTGATTTATTTTTAGCTATGCTTAGAGATTTAAAAACAAGAAAACTTTGGGTAAGAAAACTTTGAATAAAAGGCAAAAAAGAATGAACAACATAGATGTGAAGAGACAGAGAAATAGGGACCGAAACGACAGCAGTTATTGGCTCACAGGGTTGTGTTGTCTTTGCAGCTCAACAACCTTCAGGCCAGGCAGAATAATGTTATGATAGGAGATGACTTGACTGCACGGTGCAGGGATTACCAACTACGTCTACATTTTTAGGCCGCCGTTACAAAAACAGCCATGGCATATCTTACACCCCACTGAGGACTTTTAGGATGCTTATTAACCCCAAATTATGACACCTAATCGTGTCAATTTAACATGGAAGAGGTTCGCTGTTGCTCTTGTAACTAAAAAGGGAAAGCATAAAAGTAAATTCAAATGGAATAGCAGCAAATATAAGCTTTTTATACAATATTAAAAGCTCTAGTAGAAATGCATATATGGTGAAGAAGCCCCAATATAAGTTTTTGATTTATTTTTTTCATGTAAGGGTAGCGTACATTGATCAAATACTAATACACATCAAAGTAACTGTTCAAAATTTAGCTCAAAGCAAGTTCTTTGTCTTTCAGCAGTTTGAAAACATTTTAATCTGAAGGAACTCATATGGCGAATAGCTGCAAACCAAGTGCATGTACCAATGTATTGAAATAAAATAGTCTTTGGTGCTTAGACCCTGGCAGTAGACGTTAATTAGGAACGCAGTTGATATGTGTGAGCATCTGTCAAGAGCATCTGTGGATCTGCACTTTAGATTCAAAGTCTTGAATGATGATAGGATGAAGCGAGGGCGAGGAGCTCCACTGATAGGCCGGCGCAGGTAGGAGTCTTCCAATTACATTTATGCTTGGTATCTATGTGAGGCAAACACATTTATACTGTGTTTGTGTCACATAATCCTAAAAAGCTGTTGCTTTGGCTATTAAAAACCAGTAATGAGTTGCAAAGTAATTACTAACAAAAATTGTTTTTTAATTAAAATGACCTATTATAGTTTTATGAGTAGAGTAGCATAGCTGCCAGACAAGGTGTGATGTTATAGGAAATTATAAGAAAGTATGGAAGTACT